CAAGATATGTGTGTTGGGTAACTTTGACCGCACATGGGGTATTTTCGATCGGTGTGCAAATATAAACGAAATTATTCGCGTCATCTCTAATTTAAAAATATATAAATATATTAATTTAAATCATTCTGTTGTAAAACATAAAAGATTGTGAAAAATGCTGACAAAAAAGAAGTTATTTTCAAAATGTACCTAATTTGAAGACATTAAGTGCACCAGGTGTCTAGAGACTGATTTACCGATTTGTCAAGGCATGCTACAAATGTATATACATGTATATGCGCAGGCATCTAAACTGCATGTAAACAGAACAGATGATTTTGTCACTGTTATAGAACTAGTTTCTACGGAGTATTCTTGTACATAATACTTATCCTAATAATTTTTTAATACGGACGATGGTCATGATTTTTTTTTCTGGTAACAAATGGCATTGCGTCATTTTCATTGGTGGAACTGGGTTACCCGCTGAGCCGTATTCATGCATGGGTAACTTCGACCGATTTCTGTTCAGCTGATTTGCATTTTATTTGTAAAAACTAAATACTATAAATTAAAAAGGTATGAATTTAAGTTGCAAATTAAACATAGTTGATAAATTTCACGCCAGGAATATCCACTGTGTCTTTCTATATAAACAAGATATTTTCAGAGGTGATTAACTGATAATTCCCCGCAATGGTTTAAAAATACTCGTCCGTAATTTTTCGGGCGATAAAGTTTCTTCTTGGATGTAATTTTCCAGTGAAGAAATTAATTTCGCCTATTATTATCGACATTGATTTATATATGAAAAATACATTTTCTTTCTGCATAAAATAGATGTGTACACTATAATGGGTTATAAACAAATTATTTTGAGGTATTTATGAACGGTCGAAATTAACCAGGTGGTCGAAGTTACACCATCCTAACCTATATCCTGACGTTAAATTTATTGAAATCCATTTATATGGAAAGATTATGAGATGTGTGTAATTAAAAAAGTTTGTATCTATGTAAGTAAATTACTGCATAGTTACACCATTTGATAAATAAATACATCAATCAGTGGACGGGTTTGTAACGTAGACCGTCTGATTTTAAATTCATTTATTTACCTTCGACCAGTCTTTAAATATTGCAGTATTTTTCCTTGTATTATGATAGGAAATTGACAAGTGCAGTCTACCCTTCAAACGAAATCGGGAGACGTTTTCCGGTTCGAATAATTATGAGATAATATTCATAGCCTAGGGAATGCAAGGTTTTCAGACTTGATTTTTAAGAAAACCGATACTTGGTCATTAAATAAAATTACCTTTTTTTAATTTACCATTAATTATAAAACCAAAGTATGGCATTATTAATATTAGTCATGTCATACTTTGAAAATTTTAGGGGGGGCGTGCGCCCCCCCCCCACGCCCCCCCCCCCCTTAAATCCGCCAGTGACTATACTTTGGTAGAGCAAATATGATGCTTATGTTATTCAAATAACATTCAACTGAATACAATATATAGCAAATTAGATGTGGGGCGTACACCCGAGCTGTTCATGACATTTAATATAAATTCAGAAATATTCTGTTTATATATGGAGGTTTAACGACCGACCTTGATTTATAATTAGATATGTATAAAAGAGATGAGACATTGACAGCCTATATCCTTTAACTTGAGATCTGTCTTGTCTAACAGGGCATATATTTCTTTTTAAATTGCATTTACAAAGAATAAGGCCAGACAAGTGTCAACGCAGAAGATCTATTTCGGCGAAATTTTAGCATAATTACCCATTGAAATTTTGCGTAAGAAATCCGTGAAGGAATGAGGTTTTATACAATTTTTCATAATCCCTTTTTTTCCTAGGTAAGGTTTTGGTGTGCTTTTTTTAAAGTTTCAAGTACAAATTGCAAATTCTTTCAGCTACATTAAAGGGGCTGGGACACAGATATGAAGCTCATATTTTCTAAAATTTTCTGAATAATATCATGACATATATGTTGCTAGAGCATTTCATTCCGAAATATTATTATTAAGGTAAGGTTTGCGATCACAGGGAGATAACTCTTATGAATCACTTAAGCGTTTGAAACCGGCGAAATTTAAACCAGCGATACTAAGCATTCAAGCGCTAATGAATTTCGTCTGTCAAACTCCATGACATGAACAGGATGGGAATAAACAAAGGACATTTCCAGTAGAAAATCGTATAACAATTTAAAGTGCAGGAATCTCAGAAGAATTTAGCGGACAAATGTAAGACGTTTAGCGTGATGCACGATTGATGACGCAATAAAAGAGGACTAATGAGTTCATTTTCAATGCGGAACTGCGCAAGTTGCACGGTTATTCAAGTCAGCAGGAGCGAAGAATCAGATGTATTGTAAATCATGCACTTCACCGCTTCACTGTAAACATGTTAAATGGCATCACGAACGAAAGAAAGAATAGATGTGGGAGCATCCTGTTACACTCTGCATGGTGTATGCAGTATGCACTCCGAACAGGGAAGAGAAGTCACGGAGCATTTGACAGTTTGATATAGTTGCATCAGACAGATAATTATTTAGCTGTTAATTTTAAGTATTCGTAGTTCATAATCGCGTATTAAAACTACGAATTACGGAAAGTTGTCAATGACCTAAACGGACATAAACAGTAATGAATGAACAGATCAGGGTGCATGTTAATCCGAGATTCCTCTGACTCTAAACCCTGCTTTTATCAGTTTACATGTATATTGTAACATGTGCAACGAATCTCGGATTAGGTGCATATGCCTAAAATCCCACAATGCAGAGAAAGTTGTCATCCACCTTTTTGTTAAAATTCTCTCTCTCTCTCTCTCTCAATTTTTTAATAGAATCAGGAAAGCATTTTCATCATTTTTTAATGAAATTTTTTGAATTATTGATTGACACTTTATTTTTCACTCTGAAAATTAGTTCTCATTGAAAAAAAAGTCCGGAGCCCAAATCCATAAAAAAAAAAAATAATATCAATCTTGAACAAATATTAAAATGCTCTAACTCTTTTAGTCAAAACACAGGTTGGAATTATGACATAATACAGGTGAGCTTTTCTAAAGTACAGTTTGTATTTATTTTTTCCTCACCAAATAATACATTAGTATAATGTGGATCAGGCCCGTAAGAAGCAATTTCAGCTGGGGGGGGGGGGGGGGGGCACAACGAAACCCAAAAAGGTCATCGGACTTTATTATTAAGGGGGCATAAGCATATAGTAGCTATGTTTTCTGTACTATTCTATATATCGGCAAAATTATTGGGAGCAGGGGCATGCCTCCCCCCAGCCCCCATCGGTTCCTACGGCCATGTGGATAGTTTTGATTTAGATAGAATGGTTTTAATGAGGGCCTGGGAATACTTTCTGTGAATGAAGTTCTATTCTTATTAGTATCTAATGTTTTAAATAAAAAGAGATCCAGATTATACATGACTATTTATGAATAATCTTAGGGTGTGTTTTAGAAAATTCACTCATCAAGCTTATATAATTGCATTCATTTAATTCAATCTGTAGAAATGTATACATTTATTTTTATAACAGTTGTACCATTATTAGTTATAATGTATGTTGGAAATTCATTCATCTTTTTTATCATTCCTTTCATTATATGAAAATGAACACACAATTTCAGATAATGGATCATTAATTGGAAAAGAATCAAAAAAAAGTACTTCAATTCTTGCTTAGAAGATCTGTGCCATCTATCATAGTAAAGACCATTATATTCCAGCTCATGAATGTTCAAGAAAGTTGGTTGGATCGAGCAAAGGTATGGAACAAGATCTATATGCCAATACCAGTGGCCCAGGATTTGGAGGAGACTGGTTACCCAATAAATGTTATCCATGGAAACAATGATTCCACAACAACATTCTATCTAGTGTTTTCCTTATATTAAGAAAAAAAATAAGTCGGAGATGATTACAATACATTGCTTCTCCATATTTGAACTTGTATTCAGTAAAATGAATGTATGCATCAGATGTATTAGTTGAAGGTGGCATATGTCTGCTTAACAAGTTCTATGTAGCATTCAAAAAGTGTTTGTAAGATTTCATGTAAATTGTTGTAGCAAAATATCCATAGATAATGTACAGAATATATATCTGTGTCATTATGGCATTTTTATTATTCTCCTGTTCTTATCCAATATTCATGACAGTGTAATAACTTTGCAGAATTTTACAATTTGACTGATATTGGAAGTACTTGCATTGTAAACTCGTTAAAATATGAATTTGTAACTTGAAATCCAATGTTATTGTTTTCTTACAAACAGCTGCATTTATCCAGAATCTGGGACTGATCAAAGTCGCCCTCATGGTGCAGTGGTTAGAGCGTTTGACCTAGAATCACGGAGGAAGGAGTTGATCGTTGCATTGCAGGTTCGAATCCCACTGCGGGACTTGGAGACTGGTCCTTCGGATGAGACCATACACAGGGAAAAGTGGCTCGCATGAACTTCATATGAAGTTCGCATGAATATCATGCGAATTCTTCGCATGAAAAGGAGAAGAAAAGGACCACACATGATATTCGCACGAAAATAACATATGATTTTCTTATAATATTCGCATGAAAATCATGCGAAAAAGAATTCGCACGATATTCATGCAAATATTTTTGTTACCTTCTTTTTAGGTTTTCGTATGAAATTCATGTGAATTTTATGCGAATATCATAATATTTTCATAGCAAATCCATGTAATCTATATTTTTCTTAGACTTTCATTTATTTAAAAAATTAATGAAGAGTATCAGGAATTCTGTGTTACTCAGCATTGTTCCTCACAGATGTCTATGGATTTGTCTGAAATTAAATTTATATATGATCATCAAGTTTTCACTGTTACTTATATTCACACACATATAATAGGTACAATCTCAAAATCTGATGCAGCAAATAAGCTATTTCTAAATTTTAATTTGAACCTGGTTAATTTGAACACAGATATTGAGGAAGTACCACTATAAGTATGAATATCCAGGTATTCTTTTGATGAACAAACAACTGGACACTTTCTGTTTCTTAATCTTCTTTATTGAATGCTTCAATTTTTTTGACCATTCTCTGTTCAAGGGCCACCCATCTGTCTGGAGACTGCTTCATCTGTAATATCAAATCATTGTTATGACTTAAATAAAATACACTCATGAATTTTTCAAATGCATTTCCAAACTCAATATTAATTTTTATATTTATCAATATGACATAGAATATGAACAAATGTAGAAATAGCTCTCTCATTAAATCATATCTTCTCTAAATTTGTCATAAATATATTGTTATTTGTAGAAATTTTCATGTTGAAAAGAAAACTCAGACTTTTTCTTTCCGTCATTGACTTGACTTTAAGGACATAGCACGTTAAGGACATAGCACATTAATTAACAGGACATTGGTTATCTTTTTTTTTAAACTATGAGCTTTCAAATCTTGTTCTTAAAAAGACAATATGCCCAGAAAAGGAAGTACACTTTTTCTGTCAGACCTAGTTATTTACTTGACTTTGGTTATGACAATCCCAGATCATACCATTCTTTGTGTCAAGTATGAACTTCCATTGTCTTGTTCTGACAAAGTTATGGAAAAAGACAAGTCAACAGTTTTACCAATGAACCTATATTGCTTAAATTATCTTCAAAAAAAAAAATAATGAATTTCAAAACCAATTAGTTCACAAACAATAATTACAAGCATCTAATGTTTCTGCTGTACAAAGTTATTGACCAAACATGAATACAATTTTTCTGAAAATGACTTTAAACTTTGCAAATAGTCTTGTTTCAGGTTCACAATATACCTTCAATATTTCATTGATCATGCAATTTGTATCTGTTGCAAAGAATTTAAAGGCAAGATTTACATAATTTTCAGGCAGATTGAGAGTGGCCTTGAACTTATACAATTGACCGGGGTAAAAGGTCATGACACAATCTCGGGTCATGTGTGATCTTTTTTTTAAAAACATGAACTTCCAATGTCTCTCCATTAACAAGTTATAGACAGGATATGATTTATAAATATCTTCTGTCACTTATCTTGAACATGTCTTAATGATCTTGCTTTTATTTAATTACATACCCACAATTCATAAGCAATACATTTATCGAGTTTAAGTTAATTATTAAGTTTTAAATATTCCTACAATATAAAGTTACTGTCTTAACACAACTACACAAACAGATAGTAAACTTGTTCAAATGATAATAGTGTTGTTTTTTTTTTTAATTTTGGTTTTCAAAGAAGGTGGGAAGAAACTGATACATGTAATATGTGATATTTCAGAGGAATTACCTACCATTGCATCAATGTTCTTTTTGAACGCACGCCAGAAGTCTATGGCTGTGGTAGATGGATTTTTTTTGAACAACTTGTGTCCATCTGCAAAAGCTCTCTGTAATGCAATGAACAATAATATATCTAAATATTAAGACTAGACATCATTTTAATACCTCATTTCTGTTTCTTATTATACAACTAAATAATAAGTTCAACATATTCAAGGAATAAGAACTCATTGTAACAAGCAAATTCAAAGAATTGTGGTACCCCGCTTTTGGTGTATTAGAGGATGGATGCCATTATTTATGGCATATAGTATTGAATATAAACGCCCTATCATATATGTCATTCAAAAGTAATCACCAATGTTAAAAGTTTTGAAAATAAGGTCAAACATAGGTAATTAGAGATTACAGAGCTCACCTCAACGAATGTTGTCTTTAAGTAAGGCAAAGTCCCACACTAAACTAATAATCTAGTAATGTGCATCCCTAGATGCAACAATTATGTAATTTTGGTCTGATAGGGCTTGCAGTTGCAATGTACCTGGGAATGGACTTATCTAAAAACTTGAAACTAGTCACTCGTCTAGAAAATGTAAGTCAAATCCAGCATCTGAAGCAAGTTTGAGAGTGTTCATCAACTTGATGCATTGTCCATGCAAGTTTGGTTCAGATAACCCCTATATTTACCTGGAACTTGGAAATGAGATCTGCTCCAAAAACTTTAACCTGATCACTCATCCGAAAAATGAAGGTCAGATCCAGCATCCGAAGCAAGTCCAGTAGTGTGCATCCTTAGATGTATCATCCATGCAAGTTTGGTCAACATAGGGCTTAAAGTTACTTGGAAATGAGATCTGCTCCAAAAACTTTAACCTGGTCACTCATACGGAAAATGTAGGTCAGATCCAGCATCCGAAGTGAGTCCAGTAGTGTGCATCCTTAGATGTATCATCCATGCAAGTTTGGTTAATATAGGGCCTATAGGTACTTGGAATTGAGACCTGTTCCAAAAACTTTAACCTGCTCCAAATACTTTAACTTGCTCCAAAAGCATTAACCTAGCTGGTCATTCTTTAGCTGAAATTGCAGCATCTGAAACCTTGACTGGTACAATGAAACACACTAGAAGCATCCTCCATGCATCTCTGATTGATATAGGGCATAGAAGTATTTGAAAAGAAAACTGCTCCAGAAACTTTAACCTGGGACGCCGACGCCAAGGGTATTACATAAGCTCCCCAAAAAACTTTAACCTGGCACGCCGACACCAAGCTGCCCAAACTTCGTTGAAGTGAGCTAAACATGAAGGTCAAGTTCAAGGGGTCAAAAATCATAGCATGCTTGCAAACATCTTGTTACAGGTAATGCACATGTCAAATATGAAAGCCCTATCTCTTTTCAGTCAAAAGTTATGAGGGAAGATAACATTTTTGAAAAGTAGGTCAAACATCAAGGTCAAAGGGTTAAAAATCATAGTATATTTAGAAAGGCCTTATCACATGTAATATACATGTATAATATAAAAGCCCTATTTTTTCTCATTCAAAAGTTGTGATCAAATGAATTTCAAATATAATGTTAAAATTTTTGAAAAGTAGGTGTCAAACTTCAAGGTCATGGGGTCAAAAAGCATAGTATATTTGGAAAGGTCTTGTCACTGATGATTCTTTTTCTCACATTATGAGGGTCTAAAACAAATAACAATACATCACTTGAGTGTCTCAAGTAACCACAAAAATAAGAATGAATTTCAATCCTTACCAATGCAAGTGTCACCTTGAAATTGATCTTCTCCTCTGTGTCAGATGGTGACACCCAGAATGCTGAGAAGAGGTATCTCTGCAACGTCTTTATTGGCATCTGCTCCACCCTCTTCTCCTGTGTCACTAGCTAAAATTTAATGTATACATGAACAGAAAAAATATCACTGAAATGTTTCATATTATTTAGACTCTTAAAATGAAATATAAGAAGTTTTCATTAGCTTATATATTAACAATTCTTTTGTATTTTTGTTATAAATTGTGTTACATGTAAATCCATCAGCATTCCAAAAACTATGACATAGACTGGGAATTGTAAAGTTAAATTTATGATTTTTATTTTGATGTTTCAGGTGCATCATCGAACAAAATAAATTAATGCCCAAACTGAACAATATTAGCTTCTCCCTCAATTTGGCTATTGAAACATGGTTTAATTAATTTACCATCAAAGAAGCAATATTTAATCAATCTATCAAGAAAACAATAATTTACAGTTAAAATTTTGAATTATAAATTTTGAAAGTTTAATGTGTCATACTCCATGGACATTTGTGTAAATTTTCTTAGCATGTTGAAACCTTTAGATCTATAACTGTGCATGAGTTCAGTCACTTGTAAAACAGTATTTTATGTTTCTCATATGTTATAATTTCATTTTCACAGTAAAGTTCTGTACCTTTTGACGAACCTGGTTCCTCCAGTTGGTGAAGGAGTGGGAGGCAAATGAGAAACATGTGATGATCACATTTCTGTCTGCCTCCCATCCACACCCCTCCAGAACTGATGTTATTTGTCTCTAAAGGGAAAAAAGTATAATGTCAGTGTTCTAAAAGCACTTAAACTACAACTTTTAAGTAGTGATATTGTATTATCTGCACTAAAATTTATAGAAATCACTCAAAAATTCTCAGTCAGAGAAGCAAGCAATATGAAAGTTAAAACTGTACATAATATACATGTATTAATATTTAGAACTAATTATTATATATATATATATATATGTTACTAATTATTATACATGTATATGTAATGAAGTATTCTTGCATCCCTGATATGAGCACAGGCGCATGCTTTATTACACAAGCTATCTCAGTCTTCATTACACTTTTAATTACATATTTAAGAAACACCTTCTTTTCTAAAGGTATTCAATGTATAATGACAATATTTTATACCTAATGAATGAATGGTCCGATATTTTCAATCATGGTAGCATTTTGAAGATGTTATCAAATAAAAATACTCCACTAAAGGAATTTAGAAAATTTTGATTATTGTCCAATTAATTGCACCTTGAAGTTTACATTGAAGTTTATGGGCAGCACATATGTTATTAAGATATTGTAAAAAGTAATTTGAACTTCATATAAATCTCTTGGTGAAAATATGCAAAAACTCTCTCTTTATTAAAATATGAAATAAAATGAATCATTTACCACAGATATATTGATAAAATTAAAATTTTCTTCTTTTCATCAAGGTCAGATAACTCTTCAAAAATGTTTAAGGTGCAAAATGGCTGTCTTCATATATGTTATCAGACATGTGAATTTGATTTATTTCACTTTCAAATATGCATTTCTAACTGGTGTAAAACAGGGTATTATTTTAACTCGGAATAATTATTTCATTCGGAATATAAAGAATCGAAAAAAATAAGCAACTAAGTCTCCTTACATGTACTTGTAGCTCAAAAGAAAAAAAAATGTTGCCTTAATTCTCTGCATTTTGTGTCTAATACAGTATTGAGTAAAGATTTTGTTTATCTCTCTATAAATAATTTATTTTATTTCTTGCAATTATTTTTTTCTTTTTATTTGTTTGTTTGTTTATTGTTTATTGTTGTGTTTGTTTATTTATTTGTGTAAACAAGGTTGCTTGTATTGGCAGGGGTTAGATGAAAATTTTATGGGGTTAGTTGGCGCATGCCTAAAGGGGTTAGTCGCCGCTGAGCGGCGACTAACCCCTTTGAGCATGCGCCAGTTGAGATAGGTAAAAATCCTGTAGTTAATCCATATGTGTATTCAGTCTGTATTGTTAATCAGTCCACGCGATGTACAAATTAAACGGTAATTAACACGGTAGAAGTATTTGTACTGTCATGCTGCACTTAAAAATCCGAAGTATTCCGTTCTACAAGTATCCATGAATGAAGACTATACATGCCGATATCCTAAAGAAATAACTCGCGGAGAACGAAAATACATACCAATGCATATTCATTACGATAACCGAAAACACTAACAAGTATTTTTACAGTCGTAACAACGATTAAATCCAACAAATAACCAGAGAAATTCGACGATGTAAACGCTGCCAATACACTGCAGACAACTCCTGTTCGACGTCACTTTTCGAAGTGCGACGTCACACGTACACTGATTTCCCGAACTTTCTGTGTCAAAATGGCGAATAGGCATTGTATGTAATATAAGGTATTCTGTCATCGTAGTACAACACACAAACTCTATTCCTTTAGATTAAAGTTTTTCTTTACTTAGGTAATCAAATAGCAGAAGAGGAGACGAGCAGTGTTTAGTACAGAAAACAGGTTACAAAAATTTGAAGATCCATGATCCGCCCACTTGTTTCACCTCAGCTAAGAGGTGCATATTTAGTGTGCAAATCTCGAGTTTCAAAGTCGATGTGACGTCACACTCACAACCATAAATATGTAGGCTTAAATCTGGGAACAGACTGTGCTGAACATTGCTTGTATTATTAGAAAGAAGATAAATACCATTTTGAAATTAATTTAAAGAAAAGAAAAATCGACAATAATTACATTTTAACCTTAAGAGACGAGATCAGTTGATTTTCAAAGGGGAGGGGGTGGTGGCAGATTCTGGGAATAAATGTTAAAAATAAGGGAGAAATAAATAATCTGACCGTTTTTTTGCCTCCTCCCAAACATACATGAAATAAAGTTTTGTTTGAGAGGTTAATTTTCTTTTCTTAACTTAAAATTGATTATCTGTCCCTGGACATGTTCGAAATGAATACCCCCCCCCCCGCTCCGTCAGAATCAAATGCTCGTCTACTTAGCCGCAAATTATTTTTAAAAATCATCCCTGAAAAAAAAAGACATGGAATATCTCAATAATCAAAAAAAAAAAAAAAAAAAAAAAAATCATGTTGGACATTATTTACATAGTCTTTCCATTTCCAAGCCTTATACCCCACCCCACCCCCCTTTTCAATCATTTTCAATTCAGTGATGGTTTTTATTACACGGAAGCAATAATATCATAAAGCACATATGAAATATTTTGATTTTATTATTTATTTATTAAAATCAGACCCGCCCTGAAGGAATTATCCAAAAAAAAAAAAAAAAAAAAAACAGTGTAGTGACTACTGGCTATTGCCGCTAAGAAACAATTACCAATTCTTGCAGAACATTGGAAGGCTCGATTCAGTGTACATGTAATAAAAAAAATGTGGCAGGGGCCGTGCCACCCCAACACCCAATTATTTTGCCAGTATGCTTTATACTATAGAAAAATAGCTATTTGATGCTTGTACCTCTATAAAAAAAAAGGCGTCTGATGGATTTTTAAAAAAAAGATTTGTGCTTGTCAAAGAATTTTGGTAGTCCCCCCTCCCCTCCACTGAAATTGCTTCCTACGGGCCTGAAAATTAGGGATAGCCCAGATTAATTAATGGATGTACATACAAGTATATTACTGTATATTTTTAGATTACGGTTAAGCAGAAAAAAACAGAGTCTTTGTTCTAAATACACTTCAAAAAGCATAAGTAATTTATACATTGCAGGTGATTGAAAATTTTACCTACTACGGTTCAAATTTAAGTTAGGCCTAGGTGAAATATTAGAGTTTTCGCAGACAGACAACTAAATGTAATAGAATGAAACACAGACAAAACAAAAAATATACTGTATATGGTATATATGCGACCGATTTTTGTAATCCTCTACCAAATTCTGTGTTTCGTGGTCATTTAAAAAAAAATACATTTTTTTTTTACATTTAATCACCATACATGCAAAATTTATATCCTGTAATTGTGTAAAATTTAATGACTCTCATTGAATTACATGTATAAAATATAAAATTAAAAAAAATTCGCTAATACATATGGAAGACCCCCCCCCCCCCCATGTTCAATGTGTTGTATCTGTCAATCCATTGCTACGCTTGATTTTTTTTTTTTTTTTTGGTTTAAATTGGAGCAATTATAACATTCCTTGCAAACATTTGATGTCTTCAAGTCAATAATATATTATTTCATTGTCAAATCCAGTAGAAGATTTGGGTTGTTGTGCATTTAGCTTATAGAATAATTTTATAATTGAACGATTTAGGAGATGTTCAACACTTTTTTTTTTAAACTTGGTGGCAGGTGGGCAATATTAATATATAGGCATATACCGGTACATGGGCTACAGTTAATTTTCAGCTTTAACCATACATTTCTTTTTCAGGCACGATAGATAATACAAGAAGGTATATCTTTAAACTCAAATTGTTCGGATCATGCATGTTCTTTTCCGTTTTTAGCATGCTACGGAAAACGACAACGTGATCCAAAGTTCTATCATTTTATTACTAACCATTGAAATTGAAAATTTTTAACATAAATATTTTATTTTTATTTCATCAACTGAAAATTTTCAGTAGTTCTTATGTATTGTTTGAATGGGAAGTTAAATGAACCACAAATTATGTTGAGTATTTATTATTTAGTACTAACGATCTTCAAGATTTCATAACATTTACGGGTTATCCTACTTAAGAAATATTAATGTGCAGAAAAAAAATATAATAGTTTACAGTGTATGCTACACACATGGTGTTTTTTTCGGTTAAGCACAAAACTTTGAACAGTTTAAAGAAGAAGCCACCTTTTCCCGACTTGCGGGGATGGGGTGCGGGTGCCACTTTACCCTTTGGCCTTGGGATCTTCTGTATCGGCTTCTATAGATCGACATGTAGATGTTTACTTCTGGTACACATATCTCTTGTTAATTTTTCAGGCCCGTAGGAAGCAATTTCAGTTTGGGGGGGGGGGGGGGCACAGCCAAACATTTTTCAGTTGACAGTTGAGGGGGCACCAGGGCTCGAGCTGTGATTCGCCATTTGCGCCAATTGCGAATTTTTTCCAAAAGTGGCGAAAAGAAATTCAAAAGTGGCGAAAATGATCTTTTTTTAGATATACCATACAAAAGTGTGTGTACTCCTAGCTATCTCCTTTGTTTATTCAATGTGTACAGATTAGCCCCTTTGTTTATTTAATGCAAGCAGACGTGTGAATTCAGGGTGTGAAAACTCCATGAAACTAACAAAGCAATGTACATGTAGGAAATCACGTCTCGCTTGAACGCACACAGCTGATTTAGTTGGTAACTTTAGCCTGGAGCAGTAAGGGGATACAAAATTACTTGAAATAATATAATATGGATTAAACAAGGAAAGACGAAGTGTTTTTGGGAGATGAAGTTAGTTAATAAAAGATTTTAATCAATAAAATCTGGATCTATATAGATTGTTTTTTTTTAAACCGAACGTAGGAAAACATGACGAAAATTTCAGAGCATGGCTGCTAATTTTACCTGTAAATAGTGTGTTCATTATACCATAATCTGACAAAGAGTGAAAGAGATACTGGCTTGGAAACAAAACAATACTTTTGTCAATTACGCTGAATTATTTTCAGTTATATGAATTTACATGTATATACACCCAGTGTCCAAGTTGTTAAATTAAGCCAAGTTTTAAACCTGATTTTAATTACTTCTTTTCACAATAAATTGTTGATATGATTAAAATTTTC